AAATTATGCTGTTTTTCGGTACATTTTGTGACAAAACTAAACCAAATCAAATATAACTAATAACTACAACGTATAGAATGGTTCTTTATCTTCAAATAGTGGTAACTTTTTTGTTGAAAATAATAGTTTTTTACATTGTAAAAAGGATCTTCCCTAGCCATTTTCTACAAAATTAACGATACCGGCTCATGTTTCGGCACATTTTTTGTTCTATTATCAACATATATTAAGATTTCTAAAAATACTGTAAGTAGGCAGACACATTCAATAAGAAATGCTGGTGTTTACTTTTTATCAAAATGTCACAAATGGTCGTAATAAAATAAAAACTGATGCTTATTTTTTGACATATTTTGCTGATACGGATGAATCCTAATGGATTGCAATAAGGGTTATTTTATTTTTAGTGCCTGTTTTGATTTGTTGTACAAAAATTTCGATGAAACCACATACCACAGTCGGCGCTCGGCCGCTATCGTTGGTGGTCGCTGTATCGCCTGCAGCAGCTGAAAAAGATCGCTGTACAAACACAAAATATTCGAATTTGATACATAGGTACATGACCTGACAAAGTAAAATAATACATAATATAAATATTTTTATAATCACAAATTCTTATTATAATGTTTTGTTTCGCTAAAAGCAAGTGGGATTTATAATATATAAATATATATAAATCCTATTCGTCTTGGACTTTATGGAGTGATCTGAAAGTATACGGTGAATGCTACTAGAACGCCTCGACGAGTTGAACTAGGTGTGCTGAGTTTGGACTCATTATGTTAGTTATGACGAGACCTTACCTCCGGACTTGATGGAATGACCTGAAGGTGTGGTTCGGTAACTGCTAGTGGAACTCCTGGACGAGTAGAACTAGGTATGCCAAGTTAGGGCTCGTTTTGTTAGTTACGACGAGACCTTACCTCCGGACTTGACAGAATGACCTGATGATGTACGTTGGTGACTACTACTGCAACTCCTGGACGACTAGAACTAGGTATGCCAAGTTTGGGCTCGTTTTGTTAGTTACGACGATACCTTACCTCCGGACTTGATAGAGACCTGATGATGTAATTTAGTGACTACTACTGGAACTCCTGGACGAATAGAACTAGGTGTGCCGAGTTTGTTAGTTATGATGCGCAGTTGCCCTTGAATTTGGTAATACCATTTATATTTTCTCCGATGTGCCCAAACTCGCCACACCTAGTTCTACTCGTCCAGGAGTTCCAGAAGTAGTCACTGAAGTACACCATCAGGGCTCTCCATCAAGTCCAAGACGAATAGGATTTATATATATTTATATATTATAAATCCCACTTGCTTTTAGCGAAACAAAACATTATAATAAGAATTTGTGATTATAAAAATATTTATATTATGTATTATTTTACTTTGTCAGGTCATGTACCTATGTATCAAATTCGAATATTTTGTGTTTGTACAGCGATCTTTTTCAGCTGCTGCAGGCGATACAGCGACCACCAACGATAGCGGCCGAGCGCCGACTGTGGTATGTGGTTTCATCGAAATTTTTGTACAACAAATCAAAACAAGCACTAAAAATAAAATAACCCTTATTGCAATCCATTAGGATTCATCCGTATCAGCAAAATATGTTAAAAAATAAGCATCAGTTTTTATTTTTTTTACGACCATTTGTGACATTTTGATAAAAAGTAAACACCAGCATTTCTTATTGAATATGTCTGCCTACTTACAGTATTTTTAGAAATCTTAATATATGTTGATAATAGAACAAAAAATGTGCCGAAACATGAGCCGGTATCGTTAATTTTGTAGAAAATGGCTAGGGAAGATCCTTTTTACAATGTAAAAAACTATTATTTTCAACAAAAAAGTTACCACTATTTGAAGATAAAGAACCATTCTATACGTTGTAGTTATTAGTTATATTTGATTTGGTTTAGTTTTGTCACAAAATGTACCGAAAAACAGCATAATTTGGCCCGATTTGCAAACGCACCCTTAAGATATAAAAACAAACATTTTATATATATATATAATACAAAATTGCTTTACCTTGTTCTGTTTCGAAGTATTAACAACATCCACCACCTTCTTTTTTTCCATTTCTTTTTAATAACCCTTTTCTTATATACATTCACGTAGTAGCGGTATGCTGTGAATAAATAAACTGCAGCAGCTGTTAGCGTCGCAACATCCATTTTAATAAATTCGTCCGCACATTGGCCTGAACCGAAGCAAACTGAACGACCTTCCAACGTGTGGACGCGATCCCAATTTCTTGGCCAATAACTCTGTCAACACATTCGCCACTGTGTTGGCCAACGTGAAGAGGGGCCATAAGAAAGAACTGTCAACCGAGCATAGACATAGTATCTTACTCTATCTACGGCAATAACATAATAAAATGGCGGCAGCTGGAAGGGTCAAGAGGTGGGAGGGACGAGGGAAACGTCATGTTCTGAATTGCTCACTGCATTTCATACGGTCAAAGATAATCGTATTGATTATATTCTCTTTGGTCAAAGATTTTTGCGCAAAGATTACCACAGAGTACATTGTATATAGATTACCAGTGTATAATATACAGAAAACTAATTCTACTCATTCATAGACTTTGTATCAATCCTCTATCTACGTACTCATTGCTAAGCATGGGCGTTTTCAGATTTTGGCTGCAACGGTTACATAATTGATATTTAGTTTCCATAACGTTATTGAAAACGGTTTTCAAATATCGATATCAGTAGTAATGGTTTACAACCGAAACATAACCCAAAATCAGGGGTATGAAAGTCCTCTGTAGCTTGCTTTACGTTGATACTATTGCCATCTCACAGTAAAAGTACAATTTTTTCCGATATTTTTACATAATCTATTAAAAGATGGCGCCACTGTGGGTATTTATTATTTATACCAAAGCCTAGATCTAGATCATGCTAGCAAAGTTTTGAAATACGCCGGTATATATATATATATATATATATATATATATATATATATATATATATATTTGTTAATTTTTATAATTTTGTTAATTAAGGAAGCAATTCACACCATGGTTTTCTTATTTTCTTAAAACTTCTCATTTATTTAAAACAATATAGTTAATATTTAAATTAAATTGATTTCCTTTTATTTTATTGAAATATGTACGAAATAATACTGAACTTAGGTGATAGCACCCTCTAGTGTAATTTTCAGTAATTTATAATCCCTATGCCATATATAAAAGCGTAGAAGAAACTTTCCTCGTTTCGTCACCTAATTATTTTTCAGAGTCATCTATATATCCCTGAAAACTGTAGAACGAGTGCAACATTTTTTTACGAATTACTTCGATTATTTTAGTTTAGAATTCAGAGGCTCTAATATAATCTTAGATGTAATATTTAGACATTTATGTTAATATATAATTTATGATTGTTATGCAGTACTATAGTATAATAAATGTCTAAAATTACATACTTTCTATTTTCATTTATGTCTATAATCTTTATACCTACCCATATTTTTTGAAGTGAGACGTAGGATCAGAGTTTGATTTCGAAGTATATAATTAAACTGTATTCATAAGTAGTAAACATAATTTATATGTATATATAGAAAATTATTATAGGTAAGTACATAGTTTATTTATTATTATTATATTAAAGAGAAAGAGGTATGTAAGGATCGTGACACTTGGCGATCTGTTCTCTCTGGCTACCCCGTCAGGGATTGTGTGTGAAGATAAGTAAGTAAGTAAGTATATTAATAATCATTATTTTTTAAAATGATTATTTAAGTTGGCGATTTACCTTCATATACTTAACTAGGCTTAGGACTGACAGGAAAGTTTTAAAACAAATGTACAAAATGCAAACAAATATTACAAATAAATGTACAAACGCAACGTCAAAAATTAATAATTTTACAGATAGTTTCATAGTGAACGGCACACGCCACCAATGTCAAGTGCGTAATTGTTACGTTTGAAAAAAAATCAAATTCTAACTTTCACATAAACAAAAGTTTCCTAAACGAAATATAATGTGTTGAAACAAATCTAAGTCTAGTGCCTAATGTCCTAAAGATCATTTAAATCTGACAACTCTCACAAATATACAAACTTAATTTTAACTATTTAAAATTCGACCTTATTGTTAAGTACCTTATAATTATATTTCACTACGTGCACCGTTTTATGATAACAACCAAAACATCGCAACGAAATCCATATTCGCTTCATCTCTTTCATACGTATTTATGATACTGTCGCTAGAACGAGAAACAACGAATATCAAAGGACATCGGTTAGTTTTGGTTTTGGGCTGATTTCGGTTTTTGGCATATCGTTATAGTTTGCGTTTTACGTTTCGTACGTTGGTTAGTTGATTTTGGGGTTTGGTTGGATATGTGATAACGGTTATGTTCTTAGGTTTATCGATATGATATGATATTTGATAACATAACGTTATTAGTTACGTTTTGATATATCGGTCTCATGCCTACTCATTGCATATTATTTGATATTATTGTGATTAAAGTACTGTACGTTAAACATCGATAGTTTGGTAATCCGATAGTATCGATAGTTTTACTAAAAACTATCGATAGTATCGATAGTCTATCGAGTTTAAAAAAATGTAGGATTAGCGTAACATCAATAAAATAACAAATGTTATACGAAATGCAAAGTTTTATTTTGATATATATTCGAAATAACAATCAAAAATCAGCATTCATCATTATAATAGTTACAAATCAATCATTAAAATAGCAGCTATTTTGTTTTATAAACAACAATGCATTTAATCTTTTTTCTTTTAACCTATTACTGCGTTCGGTTAAATTTTATCTGGCCTTCGAAAATATCCTTTTTGAAGGCACAAAAGATGCTGGAATACAGAAATAGAGCATCGCTAATTCCTTCAATTTATTGTTGGTGTATTTCCAGTATGTTATAGGACACTCTTTTCTGTCAATTACTGGCTTCTCGAGATATTGCCTGACATCTACCAATGAGTTACTCAAAGGGGTCGATACGTATTTACGTGTAGGAATCTCAACAGGTCAGTACATGTTCCTGAAGACGTGGATGGTGTTGGTTGCGTTTCTTCTACAGACAAGCATTCTTTAGTTAATTGGCTAACATAGGCCTTTTCCAGCCACTGATCAGCTCGCTTCTCGTTGTCACTTGTTTTGGACCCCTTCGTCTTAAATCGGGGATCCAATATTGTAACAAGTACAACAAGTGTCCTGTTTTCATAGGGACTTAGTCTTTTGTCAACTGATCCCTTAACGCAGAGTAATATTTTCTTTCCGCTTTCAGAAACTGAGATTCATCTTCTACTAATTTCGTTTTTATTCCACGAACCAATGGTATTTTCAGTGACAATATTATATATAGTATTCTCTGGAAATTTTTGTCGTAGCTAGATCGAAAGGTTCCAGAATCTGAATTGTCTCTTGAATAATTAGGTATTCGTCAGCATTGACTCCTGGTGGAGCCCTTTGTTTGAGCGTTATCAGTCGTTATTGCTTTACATTTTAACCTGATACTCCATTTTTAGAGAGTTGTATCCAACACCTGAAAACAATAATAATATTGTTTATGTCTGATTATAAAGAAACACTGAATTGGTAGGTATCAAGACAATGAAATTTAAAAATACTTACACTGGCTATATTTTCTGCGTTGTGACTTTCTTCCATCTTTACGACTTCCAATAATGGTGCAATTAATTTTTCGTTGTGAAAGAAATGACAAGTAACTGAAAGGATGCCTTCATTTGCAATTGATGTCCATAAATCAGTAGTCAGACTAACATGTTCGGCTTTCGATAATGCTAAGACGAGCTTCTGTTTAACGTTTTCATAATATTCCGTATTAAATTCCGTAATAATATTCAATATTGTTGTATCAGGAATTTCATATCTACTATCGAGAGCATTTAAAAAATCCCGAAATCCTTCATGTTTTCCTTTTCGCAAAGGTTCCATGTCAACAGCAATCATGTGCACGTATTTGTTATCCAAATTTTGATTTGTTTTCCCATCTGTAAAAATAACTTTTTTGCGTGTTTCTCTTTTTAAGGCTCGGGCCCATTTGCTTATTTTGCTCAGTGGTATCAAAGTCTTAAGTAACAGAAACAGTAGATGACCATATCCATACCTCGGCAAACTTTTCATTAGTCTTTTTGAAGTAATCCCACGCACGTGACTTACTACTCATGTTTTATTGTTTAATTCTAAATTGTTTGTTACTCCACTCAACTTCAAACATCCACAATAAAAAAACTGACTGACTTACTTTTGTCTTGTAAATGAATGATATACGCACGGCAATTCCCCCTACCATAGACAACAATCTCAATGTCTACGCCTTTGTCACTATGGCCGGGGAATAACCTACATACATGGATGTCTCGACCCTAAGGATGTAAAAGTAGTACTCGAGTAAGCAATCGATCGATAGTTTTAAAAATTATCGATAGTATCGATAGCCATTTACTATCGATACCATCGATAGTCTATCGATGTTTAACGTACACTAGATTAAAGCTATGTATTGGAAATAGAATATGGATTATTTTAGTGAAATTTGTAGAATTTGTTTATGCGATAATGTACGCATGTATGTACTAAAGAAGACTGGTCTCGAAAATTTGTACAGAACACTGACTAATAGTTTTGTAAGTTTGTAAATAATTCTTAACATTGCAAATTGAATGTACCTCGTCGAGAAATACTTTAAAGAGGAGTTAGGTATCTCTGGAGAAATACATTATAATATATATAGTGTATATAACATAAATAGTATATATAGTGACAAATACAACCATAACCTGAAAAACAACAATTAGCCTGGATCCTGGGTCGCACTAAAATCAGTATTATCATTGATGTAACCGCGGGCTCAAAGTTACCGAGTCTGCACCCTAAAAAGGAACATTGTGCATCCTTCCACGCGACCCGCACTGCTGCATAGATTTATTCGCGGTGTCTGTTATTTTCCGTCAAAAAATTAATATCCACCCTAGTTTGCTCTTTCACCCACTTAAAGCCGTTCTATGGACTATTAAAGTGGGAGATTAGAGTGCACATGTGCTTACAGACAGAAATTCCCTCACTCTCATATTTCTCATACTCCTATAAGACTGAGAAATCGGAAAAGGGAATAATGTGCACATGTGCTCGCTAACACACATGCAATATAATCCTGTCCTGCGTTGATGAATAGTCTCCATTGTGACCGAATTTGAAATTGTCTGTATGACATATTACATTATTTTATATGTGGTAGAGCCATGCTGCAGCTATATTATAGTTGTATCACAGGTGGTTCAGCTAGGCCGGGGTGGTACCACATTCACAGATTACTGGAGTAAAATAGCAGCTTAATTCTGCTCTGTTTTATATAGTGAGTTAGAGCATTGGAGACCCTTTTGACTAGAGTCGAGGCATTCAGTCTTGGTCTCAGGGGAGACAACGCTGGGGATAAATGTGGAGGTCTATAGGCCATAGCAAACAACAAATCAAACAGTAGTATGTGAATGCACTTACAATCAGGTGGACTGTTCGATTTGTCGTCAACCATGTATAAAAAAATATTGAGCCAGCCAGTAGTTGATACAGTATATAACTCTGTATCCTGGTTTCAAATCTTTAGTTCTATTTTATTTGTTTATCCAATCTGTTGTACAATTAGTTTATGGTTTGTACTAATATTACTTTTCATAGCAGCTTGTTCCATACTTTAACCACTCTTTAGCTAAAGTAGGTGAATTATTAGGTGACTCAGCTTTAGTCAATTTGAAGTGATGCCACTAAGTTGTGTGTTGTTTGAGTACTGGAATAATAGTTTGTCGAAAATTTTCTATATCATGGTGTTTATATATTATTTTATATGTGTCACTCAAGTCTTTGTCATCTTTCAGACTTTCCTCGTATAGTATGTTTTCAATGATGTCGAAACATTAATATCTGTGTTGAAGCTTTTTTAGCAACTCAATATAATGATTTCTTATATTTACGCGAACACTACACATTGAATAAAACTATTTTTACGGATTTTATCGCGTTTAATTTACTTATTTTATATTCCCGACGTTTCGGTTGCTTTCCAGCAACCGTGGTCACGGGGGACTGAGGTGATTGACGTCCCGATGTCAAAGTTAACCCGGAGTACCTTCAGCTTTTTAATTATTAATTTTGGTCTTGGTCTTGGTCTTGGTCTTGGTTTTTTTTTTTTTTTTTTTGGTTTTGGTCCGATCTAATAATTAAAAAGCTGAAGGTACTCCGGGTTAACTTTGACATCGGGACGTCAATCACCTCAGTCCCCCGTGACCACGGTTGCTGGAAAGCAACCGAAACGTCGGGAATATAAAATAAGTAAATTAATCGCGATAAAATCCGTAAAAATAGTTTTATTCAACTCAATATAATTTAGAATGCATATTCTAAAATAGGTTGAAAATATGTTTTATATAATTTTAGTATCATTTATGGTATTATTATTTGCCATAGTTGCCATGCTAGGCAGGCTGGTTGACAAGTGCAGTTTTTTTTATTCTGACCTGTTATGAGGAAAATGTTGCTGCTCATATCCTTATGAGATAAAATAATCTAATTGTTAGATAACAAAACCCACCTGTAACTTACTTCATACTGTAATTGATAATAAATTAAAAAGGTTAAAACTGCTAGGGGATATATGTATATTGTTATTTACTTATATTTGAAACTAAGTGACAGTGGCCTAATAGTGTGTGAAGCATTACATCTTAGTCCTCAGAGGTAACATCACATCTGTAGCCTTTGCTTGCAGTTCGTTGTAGGTGCCTATGGGCTGCAGCAGCCACTCACCATCAGCTGGATTGTAAGTTTGTTTGTCACTTCAATGTTGTTACAAACAACAGATTTTATTATAAACTTGTATGTTTAAGTAGTTTTCCATATTTATGATGAACTTTCATATTTTCAGATGGATGAGGATGAGGAGCCCATAATTGTCTGTTTCACCTGTCATGCAAGACTCATTCGTTGTAGAAGATTACAACAACAAGCTGTGGAGTCAAAAGCAGTTCTGGAGCAGTTGCATGCAGGAGGGTCCATGGTATTTTCCGTTCCATAAATATTGTTACATTATAAAACCTATAAACGTCCCTCATAGATTGCTTCACATACTAGGGGTTTTGCCAAATTTGCCATGTTTGGCAGGTTGGTACCAGTTTATATTAGTCTGAGTTGTTACCAGGAAAATGCTGCCGCCCAACTCCTGTTTCTGTTTCCCTCTGTCGCCTCTTACGACACCCGTCCCTTGGGCATTACACGGTCCACGGTATTATACTTCTTATTATTAAAACTTCACTGCTTGATGGGTCATTACCATTATAATGAATTTGTTTAGGCTAAATCTTAACATTTTAAAAACTTGTATTCAAGACGCGCGTCTCGGTGTGTTCCTCCGATGGAATTTAAGGTCACCGCCGGCCCCCTCTCCCGCGCGCGTCTCTCCGCTGACCGCTCGGTCGCGAGACGTGTGGGCAATCAATTGTTCGCGGCCGCCGAGTCGGTTAGAGGTCTGGAAGTTACTATCGAATCGTTAGGTCGCGTTAAGACCGCCTCTAATTGCGTTGTCTTATTTCGTACGTTTTACGTGACAATGAGGCTTTCCTTGAGTTTTGAGTTATTAACTTAACTTCGATTGCCGTTAATTTGCGTCGACGAGTTGCTTGTGTGGCATTATAATATCGTACGAAGGAATTTTTGCTCTGTCGGGTGGAACGGTAAAACTTTGTGACCCGAGAGGAGATCGCGTTCGTGCTGGATTATAATTTTGTGCTAAGTGAACATGTGGCATTGAACATTGACAAACAGTCTTAAGTTGTGCAGTGTGTCACTTGTTTTAAGTTCGATTAACGTTGATTTAGTTAATTTTTAAATTAATTAAATGTATAATAAAATTGATAAACTAATATAGTGAAATAAAAGCAAAAAGTCTCAGTTGGTGAACGCCCACTTGAGGGATCGCCCATTGTAGAGAAAAGCAGCGCCTGTGGGTCTGCTGTCCGATTACATCTGTGCCGTCAGGTTACATTTACACACAATTTCTCACACCACTTACACACTCACATATTTACCACCTGACTGCGCCTTGTGGTCGACCCTACCTCCGGAACTCGGTAAGTTTGTGTTTGCTTATCAGCCAATACATTATAATTGTCCATAGGCCATTTGGGCCCGAACCCTCTGGTTGCCCGTCGAGTGGATCACTCATGGGCCCTGTTCCAGTCGACTTCTGTCGGGGCAACTGAGGGCCGTAACAGAAGTATTTGGCTTAATAATCACTTGGCGGGGACCTTGATGATCACTATCTGTCTCACGCCTTCTATGCTGCTTCCCGTTGCCATATGGGAAAATGTTTTTTCTATTGCAAAATTAAGTTTATCCTTCAATCTAAATTACTTTTTTGTTAGAGCAATGCTCTATATTTTACGAATTACAGTAAGTACTTATTTTGACAAAAATAATTAGCTAACTGTTTATGCTGTTATATCTCATTCTATTGTATATAAACGAAATATCATCTATATGTAATATTACTCAGTAAACAAAGATAGATCACTGTCAATTTACTGCATTTGTGAATCTGATCGGAAATGTTGTTGAGACTATCTCAGGCTGGATGAACATTCTTATGTAAGTTTATTCGGAACCCTCACTTTGTCCAGTTTTTATTATTTTTGGAGTCGTTGTCAGGAAGATGCTGCTGCCCATCTCCTGTTTCAGTTTCCCTCTGTCCCTTTTTACGACATCTGCGGGATGGTATGGTAGTATGGATTCTCCTACGACACCACTACACTGGCTGTTTCTCTTATTTAATAAAAGAATTTGGTTTCAGTCAATAACAAAACCGCATGAGGCTAGAGATAAGATTCAATTCACACCAATTAGTCATATTGATATCAGACCAGTAGAGTGTGATACTGATATAGAAAATGATTGTAAGAACCAAAAGTTTAGCCTTGAATCTGTAAAAGTTGAGGAAGAGAATTTCGAAATTGAGAATTCCACATTTGAAGAAAATGGGAATCATGAAACAGGTAAGATATGCACATTTTGTGATATTATTAAAATAAGCTAGAAGTTACCTAATGACCAGTGCTTACTGTAGCTCATGGACATAAAATAATATTATATCATTATTAACTTCCTTCTGCGTAGCATTGAAAGAAAGTTAATGGTTTTAGCTGGCAGTCTGTTAGTCTGTATGCCGACACGATAACTTCCGTTCCACTGGACCGATTGACTTTAAATTTGGTATGTGGATACCTTGAGGTAGTAGCTCGGTCGAGTTTGAATTTGGGTCCTGTAGGTCAAAGGGCACCAGAGATATGGGATTCACGTAGAAGGAAGTTGTTTTTCTTGAATTTACATTCAACTCGTTATTATTATATTAACAGGCAGGCAGTTGAGACAACTGATAATGCCTGTATCCTGTTTTTGTCCACTAGTTACTCTTTTTGCAGTTCAGAAAGTGATTATCTAATCTATTTTTGAATTGGTTCACGTTTTGAGCTGAGACTATGTTCTCTGGAAGCTTATTCCACTCGGTGACTACACGGTTACAAATGAAGTGCTTGTGGGGGTTGCTGTTTGTATAGCTGGTACATAGCTTAAGATGGTGGCCCCTGAGGTGAGTGTTTTCATTACGAATAAACAATTTGTCAAACTCCTCAATGTCGTAATGCCCATATAAGATCTTAAAAGTCTCGATTAGATCTCCTCGGTCGCTGCGGCTTTTTAATGTTGTAAGTTTTAAAACTTTCCAACGTTCTGCATAAGACTGCCATTTCAATAGCCGTGGTACTTTAGTGAAGCTACACTGTACTTTTTCCAAAGCTTCAATGTCCTTGATAAAGTATGGATTCCAGACTTGAAATGCATGTTCTAATATTGGCCTGATAAATGTTTTGTGGATCTTAAGCATCATTTCCGGTGCTAGGACAGCAAAAGGTTTTCTCACAAGGTAGATTATTCCCTTAGCTTTCTTAACCCATTCACTGCCTTCCTAAGAAATGACAACATTACCCCCATGCCGCTTTATATTGGTATTTAACCCACCCATCGGCGGGCCCGGCATCTCGATAGAGTATCTTGGCCCGCCCATCGGCGGTTCCTGCATGAGGCCGTAGATTTCGTAGTGAGATATTTTTATATATATTTTTATATATATATATATATATCAGATTATGTGAGTCCTTGATACTGTCCAAATTCAATTATGCAGATGCAGTAATAGGTCCAAGACTTCTCAACCGTTCAAAGAAACCTATACAGCGCGTGCAAAATGCCTGTGCCCGTTTCTGTTTTAAAATACCTCCCCGTGCACATGTTACACCTTACATTAATAATGCGAAAATGCTTAAAATGGATTACCGCTGGCAGTTGCATTTTGCTGCGTTGTTGTTTGGTTGTATCAAATACAGGGCACCGTCTTATCTCTATGAAAAATTACGCTGGGCTCGAGACAATGTCTTAACAAATGTAGTGACAAGAGCTTCGGCGTACGGGTTGCTTCTGCCCCAACACCGCTCCGCTGCGTTTCGAGGCAGTTTTCGATATGCAGCAACCAAGTGTTGGAACAACTTGCCGCCGCCGTTCCGTAATACGCAATCGATACATAGCTTCCGTCAAAAATATAAATTGTTCCTCTTAGATCAGCAATCTCAAAGTTAAATAGTGCAGATATTTTGATAGTATGTAATTTTATAAAGAATATATGAGCATATATATGTGTATCTATGTGTGCTTGTTTATGTTTATGTATATATATGTACATACATATGTGTATTTGTATGTGTGTATGTTTGAGTATGTAAATATTATTTATTGAAATTATGTATTGAAGCGGTGTACTGCAGCTGGTTTGTGTATTTGCTTGTAACTTAAACTTAGTTACGTTTCTGAGTGAATTTCAATGCAACCTCTTACAGTATTAAGAATATTTTATAAGAATTATGACAATATTACAACAAATAAATTTTTGTTATTATATTTGGTTTAACACAACAGAACTGCCCTCTGCTCATAAGGAATATATAATATATGTATATATATATATATTTTATACTTATTTGTGTATTTTTATTTTAAATACATAAGGGTGCCACTGAAAATCAGGGTTGGGGTGCTTCTGATACATTCCAACATATCCTGAGTGGCTTTCCTTTTTGGAGCAGAGCATCATTTACGGGTGGATTATCTTTATAATACACCTTATGCATTACTCCTTATTCTCTAGTTCTTTGTTATTATTATTTTTTTCAATATTATTGTTTGCTTTTTTGTTTTTTTTTCTGTTTAATTTTACCATATCTATAAACAAGGAGTTAATGTCCTGTTTCATGATTTATATGTATAATTCTTTGTTTTTTTTTGTTTGTTTCTATGACTACTTAAATGTTATGTGTTTTATGTAATCCGCTTGAGTGTGCTGCATGTGCCAAATAAAATCTGTTTCTTTCTTTCTAATGTCTAATTTACGTCCTGTGCATTGCGTAGAGCGTGTTTGCGTATATTTTTAGTGTGTAGTGATTTGACGGCTCCGTGGCGCAGTGGCTTAGCAATGAGTTGCTTGCGCTGGGGGGCGCGGGTTCGAATCCCGCACGGAACAAGTATTTGTATAGCCTACAACTAATTGTTCCAGGTCTGGATGTTTGTCCTTGTGAAATTTGTGTTTGTAAACTGCCTCCACGATACATGACAAAATCCTAGTGTGGGGGTAAGGTTGTTTAAAAAGAAAAATAAATAGGTCTCAGGATTGTTTACAATTTGTTACAGTTAATGACCACATTTTTGTTATGCAGGCAAAGAACTACACTGTCGCATTAGGTTATTCCTGTCATGATAGTTGTTAGTTTAAATAAATAAATAATTGTCAATGTAAAATAATGAGCATTTTAGACATTTTTTTTAACCTATGTATTTATATATTTTAAAAATATTTTGATCCTGTATAAATGCAGTCAGTATGTATGTCACTTAAGATGGATTAATTTCATAGGAATTTATGATGTACTTACAACTGGTAAGCAACTCGTCGTTGGCAATTTCTTTAGGAATGCCACAAAGCACGGGCCTTAGCCACCTGCATCCATCGACTTCATGCATGTCTTACCAGTCGTCACTCCATCTAGTGGAGGGCTGCCTTACACTTCGTCTACCGGTACGAGGCTGCCACTCGAGAATCTTTCTTCCCCATCGGTTGTCAGTTCTTCGGCCAATTGCCACTTCAGTTTATTACACTTAGTTTATGAAACATGCAGCATGGTAATGAAAATGGGTAGCTCAGGCCCATAAGATTTGTGATGGACTGTAATGATCTAGTCGCTTGAAAAAAAAAATCAGTAATTATTTTATATATTGAGTCAGAATCTGCTTCATTCTAGAGAGTGCTGAAAAACAAGAAGACCTGGAGATTGATACTTTTGAAGATAGACATACGGATTCGGAGAACGACTTGCCGCTAATTGCATTTGGTTCAAAAAGTAAAAAAGATGACGATGACATAGGTAAATTAATTTATGTTAAAAAACATGTATCAAAAAATAAAAAGAAATCACAAATTCCTCTTGCATCATGTAGTTGTACTACATGTAATACTACATGTACTGTAGAGATGTACTATACATACAAAATGTTGTTCTTTAACTACTTAATTACTTTAGTCACATCTAGGTTCCGCAATAAAATATCGTGCGCCCAGCGAAGCGAGCGGTTATCAGCTAGTGTTTAATATAATGGATTTTCGCAATGTAAGGCCTGATTGAAACTGTCAAAGCTGAAGATCGATTGTGGCAGCATCGTTTCCGGGATACCTGAGATTTTAAGTGAGATTGAAAGGTTCTATGGGCAGCTGTAAACGTCATCGTTGGAGCCACATGCAAGTGTGAGTAACGATCCAAGAGCGAGTGTTATCCGACATTATTCCGATGATATCCCGGACGTCAGTCTGAGCGAGATTACAATGGCTCGCCAGCACCTTAAAAACGGCAAGTCCCCGGGCGAGTATGGAATTACAGCGGAGCTTCTGAAAGCGGGTGGAAAACCGGTACCGGAAGTCCTTCAGAAGCTCTTTAATTCCGACATCCATGGTGGTACTACTCCGGAGGCGTGGAGCAGAGGTGCGGTGGTCTTGTTCTGCAAGAAAGGTGATAACGCCCTCTTGATGAACTATAGACCGATTTCCCTTCTGAGCCGCGTCTACGTGCTGTTTCGTGAGTCATTAAAGATCACGTTTAATGTCCATGTCACACCTATGCCGGTAGTTGTTGGGAGCACTAAGTTCGAAGTTGTTGACGAGTATGTTTACCACAACATACAAATAGTTCGATTAGGTAAGTCCAACTTCGACCGAGAGGTCAATCGACGGATTCAATTCGGTTGGGCAGCGTTCGGGAAATTACGGCACATCTTCTCGTCAGGTATACCTCAAAACTTGAAAACGAAACTATACAACCAGTGCGTGTTGCCAGTGATGACTGATGACCTATGGAACTGAGACGTGGTCCTTCACTGCTGGACGGATGAGGAAGCTCAAAGTTGCTCAGCGAGCTATGGAGAGGGCTATGCTCGGAGTTTCTCTGCGTGATAAACTTAGAAATGAGGATATCCGCAATAGAACCAGAGTGACCGACATAGCCCAACGCATTAGTAAGCTGAAGTGGCAATGGGCCGGCCATATAGCTCGAAGAACCGACAACCGATGAGGAAAAAAGGTTCTCGAGTGGCGGCCTCGTATCGGCGGACGAAGTCTTGGGCGTCCCCCCATTAGATGGAGTGACGACCTGGTAAGACATGCAGGAAGTCTATGGATGCAGGTGGCTCAGGACCGTGTTTTGTGGCATTCCTTGGGGGAGGCCTATGTTCAACAGTGGACTTGTGAAAGGCTGTAATGATGATGATGATGAACGCCTGATTCTATTGCTAATCTTTTTGTCTTGCCTTACTACGCGGTCGAAGCCACCTCTGCCGTTTTTTTAACATCCTTTCCGATTTCAGTCAACTTTTAGCTTTAGTTTTCTTTTTAGGATGTGAGTACGAGGGGTGATCCAAAAGTAATTATTGATAGACAATATTAAACACAATTTTAACAATATGATTATTGTTAAAATAGTAATTTATTTTTCCACATAGTCTCCTAACAAGTCAATTCATTTAGTACATTTTTGTTTTAATCCCAGAATTCTCTTAGAAAAAAAAAATCTTTATCTTGACCCTCCAAAAAAGCCTCAACAGCGTCCATCACTTCGTTATCGTCTGCAAATTTCTTGCCTCGAAGGTGTTCTTTGAGCCGAGGAAATAGATAGAAGTCACTGGGAGCTAGATCTGGCGAATAGGGCGGGTGTTCGAACAGTTCAAATCCAGTTTCTTGAATGGCAGCCATCGCAACTGCGGCTTTGTGAGCCGGAGCGCTGTCTTGTTGAAACAACACTCCAGCTCGCAATTCGCCGCGTCTTTTTCTTTAATAGCCTTCTGCAATATTCTTTCTGTATCTCCTAAATACAAATTACTAAGTAACCTAGCTAGGAGACTCAGGATTCTACCCATTTCAAATTAGTCCTCATGATGTTTTGCATATATTTGTAAAAAGTATGTAAACTATAAAAATGTCAATAAAGAATTATTATTATTATTTGGTCTGCGTAGTCGAGAGTATAATCCCAAAATCATAGCCTCAAGGCTGCTTGGGTTCGTCATACGAAATAGCAAAGGATTCAGCATTAATACTAAGAAAATGCTGTATAATACTCTCGTTCGTAGCACACTCGAGTACTGTTCTGTTGTCTGGCGTCCACACTTTGCGGTTCACAATCTACGCATTGAGCGTATTCAGAAGCGGTTTCTGTGGCATTTGGCACGATTAGTTGGTAAAGCAAAGAGAGATTTCTCATATGCGGATAGATAGAGATTTTTCAAAATGTTATCCTTAGATAAACGTAGGGAGCTAATAGACTTATTGTTTTTGTATAAAATTCTCAACAATAGAATTAATTGCCCTCAGTTACTGAACTCGTTTGATTTTAGCGCGCCTTCAAGATCGCGCGTCATCCGATAGCACCACTGAGACCACCAACCCGCACAACTGTTCTCGGCTCCAACTCTCCATTACCCAGACTGTGTAAGCTACTAAATAGCTACAAACACAGAGTTGACGTAAACTTTGATTCCGCTTACAGTTTCCGTAAAAAGATTGTCGTCAGTATGACTAGTACTTAATTTCGTGCAACCAGCTTGTGTTCTCTGTTACCATACGGATAAACAATGTGGTTTTTTTTTCCTTTTAAAATTGTTAACTTTATTTAGTAAAATCAAAACCCACTTAAGGGGCTACTCCATGCGAACGACCTTGAGCATTTGACCGGCGCGCCGCTCGCTACAATATATTATTGCGTAAGACTACACCTATTGTACGAACGTAGTATTATTTTTTCAACATCAATAAACTATTTTATGGAAATACACAGCGTACAAAGATAAATGTATTTTAATTTTTTTATTCGGTATATATTAGTTGCATTATATTAGAATTATGTATTTTCATATATTATCTAATTATGAAATTTTATAATTAATTATATATTAAAAATGAAGCATTGAAAATTGTGAGTTTAAAAGATACTATAGATAAATAAATAGATAGCTCGGCTTTTGTACAAATAATTGGTGCAATAAAAAATAAATAAATAAATAGGATGTTTCGCAGATGTATTTTTGATTATTGTTAATTTTTACGTGTCACGTATTGAAAAGTAATATACCTACCTACTAATTTTTGAACTGAGCACCTTGTAACTTAGCCTGCTTATTACTTATGCTGGCAGACATTATCCTCACCCCAATGATTGATGAGGATGAAAATCAATTTTATTTCTACATACGTAATTATATTTATTTATACATAAGGGTAACTTTAATAAAGGTAAATAAATAAAAAATAAATTTAATAAAAATAAAATTTAATAAAGGCAAAAATCATCAAGAAGTATAAGGGTTCAATCTTTCAATTTCAATTGTAAATAAACGTTACCCCCACATTAGGATTTTCTCCTGTGTCGTGGAGGCAGTTTACAAACATAAATTGCACAAGGACAAACATCCAGACCCGGAACAATTATTTGTAGGCCATACAAATACTTGTTCCGTGCGGGATTCGAACCCGCGGTCCCCAGCGCAACAACTGATTGCTAAGCCACTGCGCCACGGAGCCGTCGCCGGGTTAAAAGTGTCATACGTCCTGTTTTGAACGGGACTGTCCCTTTTCTCGGTCACCTGTCCTATTGTCCCCAAATAAAGCTCCGGGACACAAAATTGTCCCGTAACTCGTTGGTTGGAAGTATTCAAAGTCAACAATCTTCAACATAATTTTTTTTAATCGAATATATTTTATGTCTCCCTGGTACAAATGCTCCAGTAGAAAGAGTATTTTTTTATTTTGAATAAATTGTGGACGTCTGAAAGAAACACTTACGGTTCCAGTGTTCTAAAGGCGATGTTGTTAACAAAGATAACAATAAAAAAACTTGAGTAGAATTTTATTCTTATTTAAAATCATCACCAACTTTATTAAAGCAAATTTAAATAAAGTAAAAAATAAAGTAAAGTAAAAAGTAAATTTAATCCATTGACAAATGTAATTAATAATTAAAAAAAATATGTTGCATTTAATAATTACCGTCTATACCGAATATAATTTTATATTGAACACTAATTGTATAAAGTTATAGTTTTTAGAGTGTCCTGGTTTGAGTTAAAAAATAAATTATTAAGTTTTTTTTAGTTAAATTTAGTTTTAAAAAATTTTAGTTTATATTAAAAAGTAGGTATATTAATACCTACTTAGATACTTTTTACCGAATTAGGGTGGAAGCCCCTAATACCAGTCATGCCCCTAATTCCAGTCTTTTCGCCTTTTTACTCCGTAAATAAGATTTCTAGTAGTCTTAAATACAAATATTGTCATCTAAAAAATTCTTTGTACCTAGAGGAAAGTATATTTATTCAAATATTACCTCGCAGTTTTAAACCTAACAGTGTTAAAATCAAAACAGGTACACAACGAAAAACGATAATTTTCCTAATTATTTGACAAGTTATGATCCCGGTAAAATTATGCTTACTTTACGTTATCTCATATATAGGCTTTTTGATTTGTATGAATATGACTATAGACATAGTAATGCAGTTATTTTTGTTTGAATTTACAAGTTATATATTTTCTTTTAGTGGAAATTAATGGGGCTGTAATTAGATAATATAAGAAATGTATGGAGTGCATAATGTCAGCCGCCCGGCTGTTATTTGGTTTAACGTACCTAATAAGAAATACCTAATTTCAGCCACGTAATATAAATCAGGGTTGCCATAAACTGGAATAAATACCATTAATTAGATCATAACTTATTTTATAGCTAAGGGAGTTATGATCAATTCGTCTGTTTTAAAATTGGTTGTAGATTTTAAAGTTTAGCAAAAGATGTACTAGCTTTTCTCTCTGACATTCGGCGTATAGAACACCTTATGTACTCAATTAATATTTGAAAAAGAAGAAAAAAACAAGCAATAAATAATATACTATATTTTAGCAAAAAACTATAACTTAGTAATACTAATTATAACTTAGAACATAAATCAAAAACTCATAACTGACTTTTGAGTTTTGAGTTTTGAGTTTTGAGGTTCGAATCCCGACCCGGGATTCGAACCCGAGACCTCATGATCAGCAGTCGCACTACTACAACCACTAGACCAACGAGGCGGTACTATACGTAATAAGATATTGTGGTTGGGTATTAGGATTATTTTTAACTGTATAATATACTGATAATATTGAATTAGCCTTTTATAGTGTAAATTATAATATTTGTCGAAATGTTAATTATGGATTCGAACCTTACATGCTAATGGTGCTTCATTTTTTTATTTGCATTAACTTCAAAGAAAATACACGCAAAAACCTTCATCGCGCAGTAAAAAACACAACAAATATATGTATAACTAATACGAAAAATTATACCCAAAACAAACAAATAATACTACCTATAAATAACCTAATAAGTAATAATATTATAATATTATCGACTGATAAGATGACATGAGCGTGTGCGCTGGCAGACGCTCTAAGGACACGGGTTCCACGTGTAAGAGCTCAGCGCTCACTGACTCCAGCAAGCCCGTGGGCAGTGAATACGCCCAGATTTTAAAATAATTTCTTAATAAAATCAAAATTTGGTCTTTTGAAAAAAAATTTATAATAGAAATGTTCATTGATAAATTGCCCATCCATTGGTGTAAATCGCAAAATAAAATAATACTTACTTTACGAGGAGATGCATGCTATCAATAATAATTTCACATTTATGTGGTTTCGTTGTAAGGAGATTATATTAATATTTTATTCCTTTAAAAGAAAATTGGATATAGATTTTATGGAATCAAGATTATGTAGAAATATAATGTGTTTTTTATTTGTTGATATATCTTTTAAATAAAAAGTAGATAGCTCCTAAAAACCGCACAAATAACGACTAGCGCGACATTTTGCTCAACCTGCGCCTTAAGTTATTGTTATATTGCATGCTGTGTTTACTAGTAAGTAGTCACTACACTTAGCTTAAGAAACTTTTCTGTTATTTAAGATTGTATTGTGTTAGTTGACTGTTAGTAAACCATACGAATAAAATAAAAATAAATAAATAAATCCCTGTCACCTCAGCTATATGCCTGATGGTCACTCTTCGATCTGCCAATACGACATCTTCTACTCTTTTCACGTTATCTTCAATGAGGGATGTGGATGGGCGTCCTTCGCGATGTTCATCTTCCGTAGATGTTCAGCCCAGTTTAACCTCCTTGGCCCAGCGTGAAACTGAAATATGGAGGAGCAGAGTCCCTCAATGTTTCACTGAGTCGCTGTGTACGTCTTTGGTAGACATTTTTTTAAACAGAGGGAGCTCTTATTTAATTTTTCTCCATTTTAGTGTTATCTCTTTGAGGATTCGTATTCAAATGAATGTACCTCTCGGGAATCGTAGCTTATTTATATGATTTTTTTAGTTCTGATCTAGTGGGTACATGAGCAAGCAAAATTTTTTTTTTCGGATGATTATGTGCACTGGAAATAACCTATTATCATTACTTTTGACTTTACCCTCGTATTTAGGAATACGATTTTTCATTATGGTTCCGTTTCCATTTATGTTTCTCTCCACTGTTTTCCAATAGAGGAATAAATGTGGAATAGCGGTTTTTTTTTAACTTTCATGCAAGTCTTTTCATTGCTGCTCGGCGTCTAGCTTGGATTGTTAAGTTTTTTACATTAGTGCCTGCCAGTATCTGGAGACCTTCCGTACAGGCCCTGACGTTTGGTGTGCGTATAAAATAAAATGGCCTAGCGCTTGAGGAGTTAGCAAAAATAATTATTTAAGGTTAACTGAGAGTTGTAGACTAATGTTATACTATTCCTCATGAATCTGGCTATAATATACAAAAATATTTTTTCAAATCGGACTGGTAGTGCCAGAGATAGGCGTGCTTAAACAAACAAAAAACAAAAGAAAACCCTTCCACTTTATTATATTAGTATAGATTACAATGTTATAGTGCAGTTGTTTTGTTATGTTCATGTTATTTTTATGTTTATGTCATGTTCTCTTAGCCTTAGGTGTCGTTCCAAGCTTATGGAAGACAGTATTAGTGCATTCGATTCCTAACAAAGGCTGGGACATATCCAAATACAGGTCTATCGCCGTCACCTCCTTGTTCTCCAAAATAATAGAATCCATTATTAACTGCCAGCTCATGCGGTACCTTGAAGAGCATAAGCTGATTAATAACCTTCAATACGGTTTCCCTCGAAGCTGTTAGGATCGATAGGACGGATACGGCGTGTATGTATACTTACATACAAAATACATACATACAATTAACTATTTTATGGGTGCCAGTGGAGAACGGACCTGGGTTGCTAGCGTACTGTGAAACTTTACGGCAATCTCCTAGCCCCTGAGCTACCAGGGCTTGAAATGAATGAATGAAATATACTTTATTGTACACCAAAAAACACATATGAGAAAAAAAAGAACATAATTTATTTAAAGGTACAATTGGCGGCCTTATCGCTTGGGAGCGATCTCTACCAGGCAACCACATTGCAGAGGATAAAATAACCTGTGAGAAAGGGTAAGGGTTTACGTAGGTTGTTAGAATATACACACGACATATATAATATAATCCATAAATACATACATACTATAATAAATAAATACATTTTAAAAACAAAAATATATACATACATATACGAGAGCAGAAAGGATTAACACTTTCACTGTCCAAGCAGTTATTACAAATTTCCCGCAACGTCCAAGCAATTATATATAGTATGTGCTGGGTACCGCATGTGGATCCCTGAACTCCCTGGGCTGATTGGGACGAGTAATTAGCATCAGGAGTCCGAGGTCCCACATGTGACCCATTTTTAATTTTAATCTGTGGGTTTATTTTTAATCTATAGTACATTTTGTTATTAATCTATAGCAATCAGCTGTGTAAATTTTTTAAATAAAACGAAAGATGTCTCTTCTCAAAATAGCCTTCGAAATGATCCACGTGAACATTTGAAAACTAAAGATATGAACAACGGATGGAGTTATACCGTTCGTGATCTACAACGTTTACCATTTACTGCTGAAGAACGTTTAGGCGTCGATGTTGAAAGTCATTCCACTGTGGAGTCTATTTTTTGTTATATCATAGACGACGAGTTTTTGGATATGTTATTTGGATATGCAGCGCAAATTAGTTCGGACGCTGGTAGACTTGCTAGATGGAAAGACGTGGATCGGAATATGATGAAAAAATTTCTAGGAATTATTCTTTACACCGGTATTGTTGTGAAGCCGACCCTGGAATGCTATTGGAAAAAGGATCCAATTTATTACCATCCACTCATGCACAAACTAGGCATGTCCTATAATACATTTACTCTAATGCTTAGATGCTGGCATTTTGCTGATAATTCAGCCCCACGAAATCCAAATAATAGATTATACAAAGTACAGCCCCTTGTTGATAAAATCGTAAACAAATCTCAACAACTGCTTACTCCTGGCGATTGTGTTATAATTGATGAGTCCATGGTACCCTTCAAAGGTCGTCTTCTATTTAGACAATACAATCCATCCAAAACTAATAAATACGGAATAAAAATTTATAAGTTATGTACTGCAGATGGCTATACTTGGAATTATGAGATATATTGCGGTGACGACGAAACAATAGAGAATTTGGATAAGCCTGGCAGTATCGTTGTGAAATTATGTCGTAATTTACTTGTTGCTGGTCGTTTGATTGTCGCAGACAATTTTGATACTAGTTTTCCTCTAGCGACATATCTTTTAGCTAATCAAACTGATCTTTGTGGCACTCTAAGAAAAAATAGAAAACATCTACCGGAATATGCGAAAGCAAAAAAGCTACAACGGGGTGAAGTTATTGCCAGCCAAAAAGAAAATGTTACCGTCAGCAAATGGAGGGATAAAAGAGACGTTCTTATGATTTCCACCTGTCATAGTGATGAAATGTGTAGGACTAGACAAAGAAATCCTAAACCAAAACCCAAAGTAGTTTTAGAATATAATTCAAAAAAGGGCATTGATTTCTCGGACCAGTTATGCAGTTATCAATCACCAATAAGAAAGTCATTGATATGGTATAAAAAAATTGCAATCGACATGATTTTCAGCGTAGCAATTACAAACAGTGTTGTGGTTTATAACAAACTACATCCAACTGCTGTACCTAAAGAAAAATGACTATACTTCAAGCTAAATCACGTATTATACGACTATTTTTGAATTTAGAAGAGGACACTTCCTCCATTCATCGTCCGTCATCATCATCCATAATATCGATACCACCGTCATGAAGACACAAATCATTATCTTGAGGAAATACCTCGTAAGGACGACAAAAAAATTATAAGCAGACGGTGCTCACTGTGTTACGATGAACAGCGAAAATTGGGACTGACAGTTGCTCAAGCAAAATCAAAAGCCAAAAAATTTGACCATATTTGTAAAAATGTGAGAAACCATTCTGTTTGGCATGTTTTACTAAATTTCATTCAGGTTAGGTCATAATATAAAACTCATATTCTATGTTCATTTTCTTTATATCATTTACTGTTTTTTGTCATAACTTGGTCAAAAATAAAGATATTTGGAGGTACACAAGATTTTTAGTTCACTAATTTCAAGCCCTACAAGTTCACCTCTTGATAATGATCCTTTCCGTAGAGTCTAAGGATATTTTCTTGTATGAAATACTATACTAGTCGGGTACACATGTGAGACCCGGACGTGTAGTGCTATACGTCAGGGTCCCACATGCGGTACCTGGACAGTGAAAGTGTTAAACAAGTGAAGTCAAAGCCTAAGCGTAAGGAAAAATGAGTAGGTAGTAATTTTTTAGAGGAATGACTATTTAAGGAGGAAAGAAACTGGAGGGATTTGGTTTTTTGGGTATAGGAGTAATCTGGGCTTCTTTCCAGGAAGAGGGAAAATTTCCGGACGAAATGGAATAATTAAAGATGGATTTTATAACAGGAGTCAAGATATCGACAATAGGGATAATCATTTTACGACTAATGCAGTATGTACTAATTGCATCAGAATTGACCTCAACAATGCTTTTGCCCACTGTACCTTTCTTAACATCACTGATAGTGATGTTAAGAAAAGCACAGTGGGCTTGTTGTGAATCTTTGTGTGGCCTGCAAATAATTCCTCTATCTTAATCTTCCCGTAAACTTCCACTGCTGAACATGGAAGGATCTCTCCCGATGTAGGGAGAATTTGCCTTGAGCGTCACGCTTGGCATAGGACTGCCGATCGCAGAACCAGACGTGAGCACCTCTGGCAATGTCGCCTGGCGCTGGTCTGTATATTTTACATCTGAAGTAAACGAGGTGGTTATACCGGCATCTGTCGGAAGCCATCAGATTTTTCTGGAAAAACCCATAGTCTCCTCTTACGAAACCCACGGGATAAAATGTGATGATGAATTCTCTTATCCCTCACTTACACGCCAATTTCGACTGTACTGTGTGTATAACAATAGTTCTGTGTGGAGTTCGAAACATCGACTATTAAATGAATGTAATTGTAACATGGTCAGAAGAATCATTCTTTCTCTCCAAAAATTAATATGAGAGACATTATTCGGAGCAATTTTCTATATTTCTCCCTGGGTTAACTAACAGAATGTCATATACGCAATTGGCTAAAATACTTTATATCTAGCAACATTGTTTAGTATAATTATGTAAAATATTATAATTTCTCTATTTCTCCCTGGGTTAACTGATAGAGAATGCCATGAGGCATATACTCCGCCCATTGTAAACGGTTAAAGTGTCTTGCAATAAAGATGCAATAATTTAAATAAATAAAAAGTTTAACTTCGACAAATAATTTTTCAGAAACTTCTGAGAGGATTAAATCAAATTCTACTTATTGTAACATAAACGATGTTCGTGAAGAAAACCTCGATTTTGAAGGCCCTACTATGAAATCAAACCCTAAAATAAAAAAAGATAACCAACCAATTAATAAAAAGGGAAAGCATCCTGCAAAGATAATGAAAAAGAAAATATTGATACAAAAAAGTGTAAATAAACTTAAGAAAAAACCATCTGGGACATCAACTAAATACATTTTTGAATGTGATGGTTGTAGTAAAAAATTTTCAACAAAAGACATTCTCACCAAACACATTTCATACAGTCATAAGACGCAAAAGAACTCAGACACCACTGCAGTTGGGACACAAGTTGAACAAACTCCAGTACCACAACTAACAGAAATATTTAGTTGTGATATTTGCGAATTCAAAACATCACAAAAACGTTCCATTTTGGCACATCTTAAAGCGCACGTCTCTAAACAAATGTACTGTTGTAATAATTGTGAATATAAATGTATCAAAAAAAATGGATTGCAGAGGCATATGAAAATACACACCAGAGAAAAATCTTTTTCGTGTAATATCTGTGAATATAGATTTATCACAAAATTTGATTTGCAAAGACATATGAGAATACATACTGGAGAAAAACCTTTTTCGTGTAATATCTGTGAATATAGATGTATTACAAAAAGTAGTTTGCAAGACCATATGAAAATACATACCGGTGAAAAACCTTTTTCGTGTAATATCTGTGAACATAGATTTATTAGAAAACGTGGTTTGCAAGCTCATACGAAAATACACACTGGTGAAAAACCTTTTTCGTGTAATATCTGTCAATATAGATGTATTACAAAAAGTACTTTGGAAACACATATGAAAATACACACCGGTGAAAGACCTTTTTCGTGTAATATCTGTGAGTATAGCTGTATTAGAAAAAGTACTTTGCAAATACATATGAAAATACACACCGGTGAAAAACCTCTTTCGTGTAATATCTGTGAATATAGATGTATTACAAAAAGTATTTTGGTAAGACATATGAAAATACACACCGGTGAAAAACCTTTTTCGTGTAATATCTGTGAATATAGATGTATTAGAAAAAGTCGTTTGCAAGAACATATGAAAATACACACTGGTGAAAAACAATAACTGCAGTTGCTAGATCCGAAGATGCGATAGATATGTCAGGGGACGACTCCTGTACTATTCCGTTTACATATTTAACGCGAGTAGCTGTGCCATCATTCAAGGAAACGAAATTATTTTCAATTAAAGACTCAAAAATATTGATGCCTCTTAAATTAACCTTATTAGACCAGCTTGGATGAATCTCGAAAAGATGATGATGAAGTTTTAAAAGAAAATATTTCATCCCAGTCATTCTGAGAAGTTCGTATGGTAGGTGGACAATATATAGAGAGTATGTAATCTATGTGTGTACAGTTGAAAATTTTAATGCAAATTATTTCAATTCCGGGAAACAAATAGCAACCCCACCATACGAATCATTTCGGTCCCTGCGATAAATATTGTTTATTTGTATTGTAATATATTTTATTTCTGATTCTGAACGTAATTTCAGCATTCAACCATGTCTCACAAATGGCAGCAATATGAATTTTCTCACTACTTAACAGCTGGTCAAACTCCGCGCGTTTGGGCCCTATACTTTGTGAGTTCCACTGGAAAATGTTTATTATGTAATTACTACCCGTTATTGTCCGAAGAAACTTTTAAAAGGCAAATCCCAAATGCACTGCCCCACCATCGCTACTAACCATTCAATAACTAATGACATTCCTTGAATTATTTTGTTCTTAAGTTCTTCTTGTGAATTTGTAAATATAGAATATAACTTAGAAAGTAACTGCCAAAAATTTAGAGTAGATCTAAGCTTCTCACTTCTCTCTTTTTTCTCTCTTCTTGATTGGAGCTCATTTTCAATATCATCATCATTATTGTTAACTATTTCTTCCGATTCTGACGATATATCGCTTTCAAACAATTCATTTTGATTTTGCTTCTTCTTCCTTTTTCTCTTCGTCCCTATAGTCTTTCCTTGTAAAGTTTGTGGAACCTCCTTAGCACACGATTGTAATGCAAATGGTAATGAATTACTGTTAGGAGCATTTTCAAATCGTAGGTGCGGTACCGATCGAGTTACGCTTGCGTAAGTCACTACCCCATCGTCGTTTTGTGGGATAGAGGGCAAAGATATGGGTATTTAGGTTGAGATGTCTTTGAGCCGTCTGTAATATAGTTATCTCTTATTCTACTCGTTCAGTTTGAGGATCAGGAGGAACGTATACTTGTAAGGCCTTTTTATAGGAGCAATTGAATTCAGCCATTATACTCCTTAGACGCTTTTCTTTTATAAATATAGGACTCGATCTATCCAACGATATGTGACTCCCGATACGGTTAACACATGTAAAAGTTGTGGTCTCACAATTTGCATGTCCTTTTCCACATTTAGGACATACAATCTTTTTAGAGGGGCAAACACGTAAACTATGGCCGAACCTCCAACACCTCGAACAGAGTGACTTGGAAGACATAGGGCTCGACGTTAATCTTAATGCCGTAAATGTATACTGATGCTGGCAACGTTGAGCCCCTAAATTCCAGTCGTAGTGATTCAGTATCTTCCCATCCCTTTCCATCCATTATTATGTGCTTCAAGCGTTTTACACCTAATGTCTTGCAATCACTTGAAATTACTTCCAGCATTTCTTTCTCGGTCATATCCAGCTCAATATCCTTAACCGATTCGTTACGGCACCGATTTTCGACAACTTTTATCTGTGGCGGCGAACAAATATTTCGTGACACGCCCGGCGTGTCAAGCGCCACAGAATAATTGTCTTTTTTATGGTTTTTCCACTTGTTTAGACCTAATTAAGTTTAGTTGACATCAAACATCAGTTACAAACGGAAAGATACTTGTTTTTAGTGGGTAGCTACGTATTTTTTTACGTGTTTTCTTTGAAATTGAGAGTAAGTGACTTTTTATGCAGAGATTACAAACCTTTTGTACTATTTTTTGTTTTATAAAAATCATTTATATAGGTAGGTACAGCTAAATCACCCTGGAAAACCTTGGTTTTTATTAAATTAAATTTTCATCTAATAATAACATTTGTAAATATCAAACAATCAAGAACCTTATTTTGGAAAAACATAAGGTTTATGATTCATTGATATTTACAAATGTTAAATATTATTTAATGTTATACAAATGTAAAGTCGATCTGAAACCGTCTAATTAGTAAGAATAGCAAAACACGTGTTTTCAAAACGAAAAAAAAACGCCGGCGCTATACAGCGGCGGATTGACAAAAATTTAACAGTGGTAGAGCTAAGCGGTAGCTTTTGCTGTCGCACGGATGGGCCAGCTCGAACCGGGGTGGTACCACACAGAATACCAGCGTGAAGTAGAGGTTTACCTTTGCGTTGCGCTTGGTGAGTGCAGGTCGCCGGAGGCCCAATCCCCCCCCCCCCATCAACATCGTAGTGGAATTAAATAAAAGACTACCCCATGGGGGGTACCAGCACCCCTGGAGAATCCCTCGCTGAGCATCCACGACCAAACTACTTCACTCCTGAGCGTGGGTGCTCAGGCTGCCCCGCGTATTCTGGGGGGGGGGGGGGGGGGCAAAATTCCGCTCGCGACTAATGCTGCTCGGGGCAAGCGGAGCAATACAACCAAGGCGACCCCTGTTACGCTATCCGTGAATTTTTGCAACATCAGGGGACTTCATTCCAACCTTAACGCTGCGCCATTACCATCTAGAGACGGCGAAGCCGGCCTTGCTCTTTTTAACCGAGACTCAGGTGTCCTCTCCGGCTGATACTTCATATCTCTCCTACCCGAGGTACAAATTGGAACACTCCTTTGTGCCCCGGGCTGGAGTTTGCGTATACGTCAGAAAGGACATCTGTTTTCGACGCCTCGGCAGTCTTGAAGGTACTGACCTGTCCATCCTATGGCTGCGCGTAGACAGCGACGACCATCCCCGCGTCTACGGGTGCCTCTATAGGTCCCATAGCGGTAATGCCGACACAGACCGACTCATCGACCACGTCCAAATGGCTGCAGACTCCGTCCTACAACAGGTCCCATCCGCAGAGTTCGTGATACTCGGTGATTTTAACGCCCACCACGCTGAATGGCTTGATTCTCGTTTAACCGATCATGCGGGTAGATCTGTCTATGACTTTGCTTTGGCATATGGGCTAACACAACTGATTACTTCGCCTACGCGGATCCCAGATGTGGAAGACCATGTACCTTCCCTGTTGGACCTTCTGCTGACCTCTCATCCGGACGGATATCAGGTCTCCGTCGATGCCCCTCTGGGCTCTTCGGACCATTGTCTGATCCGGAGTACGGTGCCACTCACGCTCCAATCGCAGTTGCGTTCTGCAGCTTGCCGCCGTGTTTGGCACTATTGGTCAGCTGATTGGGACGGGATGCGGTCTTTTTATGCATCCTACCCTTGGGGGTGGGTTTGCTTCTCGCCGGAAGATCCCAGCGTTGTTGCCGATTCTGTTGCTGATGTGGTACTTCAGGGCATGGAACTTTTTATTCCATCCTCTGTGGTGCTCATCGGTGGCAGATCCCAGCCATGGTTTGGTGCTACCGGGCCTGGGCTGACGCATCAACGTCTTGGGATGTAAACACCAGCGCACTTAAAAAGAAGTATAAATCCGCCTCCAGGTCCTTTAAAAGCGTCATTGCCAAGGCAAGGTCTGAGCACATCGGCAGAATTGGCGAGAAGATAGTTCGCCTTCCTTCGGGAACCCGTGCATTCTGGTCTCTCGCCAAGGCTGTCCAAGGGAACTTCTTTCAGCCATCTCTTCCATCTCTGCACAGAGAGGACGACTCACTGGCCCATGCCGCAAAGGAGAAAGCCGATGTGTTGAGCTCTCTTTTCGCGTCCAACTCGACTCTAGATGACGGGGGGAACACACCGCCGACCATCCCGCGATGTGAGTGCTCCATGCCGGATGTGCGGTTTACACAGCGCTCGGTTCGCAAAGCACTCTTCTCCCTGGACGTCAGAAAGTCGAGTGGGCCCGATGGAGTCCCTCCCATTGTGCTGAAGACGTGTGCTCCGGAGTTGGCACCGGTTTTAACGCGTCTTTTCCGGTATTCCTACTCCCAAGGCGTAGTACCGAATTCATGGAAGACAGCTTTGATCCACCCGATCCCTAAAAAAGGCGACCGCTTAGACCCGTCCAACTACAGGCCTATTGCCATCACCTCCTTGTTCTCCAAAATAATGGAATCCATTATAAACTGCCAGCTCATGAGGTACCTTGAGGATCACCAGCTGATTAGTGACCGCCAGTACGGTTTTCGTCGAGGTCGATCAGCTGATGATCTTCTAGTCTATCTGACTCATAGATGGGCGGAGGCAGTAGAGTCCAAGAGGGGAAAGGCCTTTGATCGGGTCTGGCACAAAGCGCTTCTTTCGAAGCTTCCTTCCTATGGGCTTCCCGAGAAATTGTGAAAATGGATCACCAGTTTCCTTGCTGATCGGAGCATCAAGGTCGTAGTAGACGGTGCATGCTCTGATTTCAAGCCTATCAACGCTGGTGTTCCGCAAGGCTGCGTGCTATCACCAACGCTGTTTCTCCTGCATATCAGTGATATGTTGCTAAATGGTAGCATTCATTGCTATGCAGACGACAGCACTGGTGATGCCTTATATACCGGTCGTGCCAATATTTCTCGGGAAAACATCGCTGAATATCGGGACAAACTTGTGTCTGCAGTCGAGTCTTTGCTTAACGAAGTCTCTAAAAATCTAGTCCAGTTCAATCCCCAGAAGACACAAGTTTGCGCGTTTACCGCTAAAAAGAACCCCTTTGTCGTATCTCCTCAGTTTCAAGGCACTCCCCTTGCTGCCTCAGCTAGTATCGGAATCCTTGGCGTCGACATATCGAATAGTGTGCAGTTTCGTGGTCACTTGGAAGGGAAGGCCAAATTAGCCTCTAAAAAGCTTGGCGTGCTCAGCAGAGCGAGACAGTATTTCATGCCGGCACATCGCTTGCAACTTTACAAAGCGCAAGTTTGGCCCCACATGGAATACTGTTCTCATCTCTGGGCCGAGGCACCCCAGTGCCAGCTCCTTCCACTTGAC